CTGTGCTCAGTGCTGAAGACCTGGTGCGCATAAGAAGAACAGACATAGTGTTTGATGGAGATGTTGGAGGTTCTGGCCAACGTGGGACCACCCCTGATGGTGGAGATCATGTTGATCCCAATTTATGTAGGGGACTTTTTCCTCCAGCAGCTGTAAATGGGCTGGGCTACTGTAAAAGGGCAGACTGATGAAATTGTTTCATTTGCCTGAGTTCGAAAATTAGGCCCCAAAATACCTCGAAAGGGCAGTATAGCCTTAGGAAGTATTTCGGTTATCTTCACCAACCAAAATAATGACAGCTTACAGGTTATTTCTTCATGCTTACAGATAAACTCTCAAGCTCAGCGTGAGTGGCATGTGGCATGGGAGCAAAATCAACATGAGTTTGGCACTAAGAAAAAATTTAGGCTTGCTTTGATGGAAAAGGAAGTGTTAAGGTAAGGAAGAAGAAGTTTTGTAAGAGATTTGGCTAGGAAAGGGAAAATGAAGAGCAGAGTTCTTCCGGCAGCTGCCAGAAGAGCAAAACGGAGAAGAAGATGAACATTGCACGAGATTGCTGGGTTTTTGTAAGTTAGAGAGATCCGATATATTATTGGAAAAAGATCCGATTTGGAGCACATGAAAGTATGACATACACGAGTCATACTCTGCACGCCATGCTAAATAAAAAATCCGTCGAGCTAGGAATTGAGATTAAAATTATAAAATGCATTTAGCTCTGCAAATCCATGCCAATTATCCTATCAAGCGCCATATTTAAAAGCATGCCAAGCAACATGCCATGCCAAGCGGGAAATTATTATTTCACACCAAATCGCACTACAAGCTTAAGTGGGCCCAAGCCACTCAAATGTCCGGGGGTTGCTTGAGTGGGTTGTGGAATGTATGGTAACGAATTGTCATGAGGCCCATTGATGGGCCAAGAAATGGAAGTCTCGGGTCACTTGGGGGGCCTCGGGACTCAAGCCCATTTTCTTAGGCTCAAACGTGGGTAAGCACAAGAGAG